ATCTAAAGTCAATAATGACGAGCAGCAGTGCATTATGGGTCAGAAGAGGAAGAATGACATTTTGAAATGAAATGGTGGTTGTGTGTGTCTGTGTGTGTTCTGGAGACATAAATGTGTTTATATGGTCACATTGTGGAGAGCCCACCAACTGTAAATGTGACCGTTAAAGGTTATGGTTACGCAAGTCCTGATTATAATTATGGTTAGGAGTAAGTTTCCACAAAATGAACATAATGTCATTTAAATGGATGAAGACACGACTGTGTGTGTGTGTGTGTGTGTGTGTGTACATGTTTTTGTTACCTGTTGGGGACCATTTTCCCAGTACACACAGCCTTTTGAGAAACCACATGTTCCTTATGGGGACAAAAGCCCAGTCCCCACTGGGGTATAATACCGTTGATGGGTCAGGGGTTAGGGTTAGGACCAAGGTGTGAGTTGAGGTTAGGGTTAGGTATGTACTGGGGTGGTTAGGTTCAGGGTAAGAGATCAGGGTTAAGCTCTAGAAATGACTTGGAAATGAATGGAAGTCAATGCAAAGTCCCCACGAAGACAGAAAAACCATCGTGTGTGTCTGAGAGAGACGGGCAACTGGTCATATATTTAGTTTTAATTCTTCGTTGAAGACCATTTCACTGTGGAGCAGCATCAAGAGACCCCCGAATCAATACTATTTATTACATCGCTCGATACATGTGTGTGTGTGTGTGTGTGTGTGTATGCATGTGTGTGTTTTAATAGTGGGGTTTATGGGGAGGATCACAGGTATTGATTTGAACTGAGACGGATGGATGGAGAGAAAGGGACCAAGACAAATGAGTGAGAGGGAGAGATGAAGAGACAGAGAAAGCTGTGCTTCTCCCTCTTTGCTCCATTTAAATGTCAACCGTCCAATAACTGGTTGAAGCCAAAATGAAATGTTCTGACCCCTCAGCTATTAACACACAAATGTACACACAGAACAGGAGTGATGTTTGCTCAGCAGACAATTACCTGAGCAAACTTTATTTTCCTTTTTTTTTGTCAGTTTTCTTCTTATTGGAGAATTATTTGTATCCAAATTATTAAAGTTTCACATTATGCTCAGAGTGTGTGGTGGGGCGGTATGTGAGTGTTGTGTATGCCCTTGACAGTAAAGTTTAAGTGGAATACACACACAGAAAGACACACACACACAGACATGCTCTGCCTAGATTTAATCTTTATTTTGTCACAACCTTAAGCGCAGGTTTGAGTAATAACCAAGTGTGAGAGCGTGTGCAGTGCGTGTGTGTGTGTGTGTGTGTGTGTGTGTGTGTGTGAGCGAGAGTGACAGGCAGATAATGGGTTGTCAGTAGAAGCAACCAGTTTGTGTCCTTGTGTTGTCTCCTCTGAGAAAGGAAGGCCTGGGGAAAACCACGAGCCAAGACAAAGAGCTTTGGAGACGGATTTGAGTCTTTATTTATAGCAAACTGGTTTTTATTTGAAAATCCCTACTTGACTGAAGCAGGTGAGTTATTTAAAGCCTGAGTTAAAAGGAAGAAGAATATTCAATTGATCAGTCAGTTCTCAAAAATTAAATCCATGACAAAACATAACAAACACGTTTTTCCTCATTTAGTTCATTGTTGTGCAATAATTTTGCTGGAAACATCATTGGGACTAATTAGAAACTTCTTGGCAGAGTATTATTGGTAGTTCCCGTATTTCAACTAATAAGTCTTTTTGCAGTGATTCTAAGTCCTTTAGTCTGTATGCTGTGTTTCATCTGTTTATTGTTAAGTATCAGGAGAAACAAAGGTAGATCGCATTCACGTAAATTACCTGCAAGCCATAAAGTCAGCTCATGTGAGCAGTTAGATAATTGATAAAAAAAAATAGCAAAGTTTTGGGTTTGTAATCTGCTGTGAGTGTGTGAGTGTGTGTGCCAGAACTAGGAGGTTATTGATCCAGTTAAATGAGCCAGTTAAGGTAATTAAAGCCCTGGGCAGTTAGAGAGAAAAGTAGATTATATTGACAATAACCATCTGAGTACACATAAAAGATGGAAACCAAAGATGTGCCTCGGAGAAGTTATAGCATTTGAGAAATGGTGGAATGGCAGCTCGGAGAAACGAGGGTTTGTTAAAACTCATTGGTTTCATCTTGGGAAAATGTTGGCTCAGCACTCCTGATCGTTTCTGGCAACACAAAACATTTACCGGGTAATTCATTTTCAATGAGCGCAGAAACTCTAAACCGCAGACATTTTAAAGATACTTCTGAAGTTTGCTAAAGTTTTAATTTAATTGTGTTCATGCATTGCAATGAATACTAAAATCCTGCAGTCTTAATGCAACATATATTATCTTAGAATAAGTGATTATAATTGCTGTGATTTCTTCTCACTATCCTCCGTAGAACCCATGCGTACTCCAAAGAGGCTGAAGATTGCCGAGACCAGGTCTCGTTTGATTGCAGTGGACTGGGAATCCCTGGGTTACAACATCACTCGCTGTCACACTTTTAATGTGACCATCTGCTACCATTATATGACTGCCAATAACCGCAGCAAAGCCGACTGCTTGGATATGGATCCTAAAGGTAGCATTAACTTTCTGCTCTCAATCAGGATGTGTTGCTGTGAGTCATTATGGGGATGAATTCACTGATTGTAGGATTTGAAAACAAGCAAGAAAATATATATTAGGGATGCACGATATATCTGTATTGATATCGGTATCGGCCAATATTGGTCATTTTTTAGAATATCGGTATCGGTCCGATATGTGGGGACGATATTAATGTCCGATATTGATTTCCCACTTTTTAGCTTTGTGTTTATGTTTTGGGAGGTGAGATGGTTGGTTGAGCAGCATCTGTTTGATTGTGATAGTGATATTGATGCTGTGTAGCCAGGAATAGCTGAAATAGTCTGGTCTGGTCATTTATTTACAGTATCAAAAAAAGAATATATACGTGTATATATAATGTAATTTTTATGTTTGTGTAATATCGGTAAATATTGGTTATCGGCCATAACAGCAATAATTATATCAGATATCGATATCGGCTGAAATTTTCATATCTGTGCATCCCTAATATATATATTTTTATTGAAGTAGCTCACTGAGAGCTATCTTTTACATGATGTATAATAATGTTTGAGGTGGGACTGATTATTAGCATTATCAATCAGGTTCTTTGATCCCAGAACAGTACAACAGAACAACTAGCTGGTTTTTGGTTCACGCCCATGAACATCTGGCCAATCACAGTAGTTTCTTATGTGGAGTGGGGTGAAAAGTTCTCCTGCAAAGCTGCGAACAAAATGATGCAGTTTTCATCACATAACTCAAGTTCAAGTTCAGTTTATTTATATAGCACCAAGTCACAACACACGTTGTCTCAGGACACTGTACATAAAAAGAACAATGTAAAGAAGAAACCAGCAGATTGTGTTGAATCACTTCATCACAGTCTCCCATCCTGAGCAAACGGTGGAGAGGAAAAACTCCCTGCTAATCAGGAAGAAACCTCCAGCAGAACCAGGCTCAGGACAGGAGACCATCTGCCTCGACCGGCTGCTTGGAGGACAGGAAAGAGACACAGAGAAACACAGAAGAACTGGTCCAGGACTGGTCCAGGTGCACCTTCTTCTGGAAGAGACAAAGAAAAAACATGATAGAAATAATAACAATAAACATGTAGAGAAGAGAGACTAAAGACAACAGCAGAGTGAGGAAATGTGCTCAGTTTGTGCTCCAGCAGTCTAAGTCTATAGCAGCAGAAATGAAGAATAATTCAGGAAACCTAAGTCTAACTATAGGATTTATCAAAAAGGAAAGTCTTCAGTCTAATCTTAAAAGTAGACAGAGTGTCAGCCTCACGGACAGAAACTGGAAGTCAGTTCCACAAGAGAGGAGCTTGATAACTGAAAGCTCTGCCTCCCATTCTACTTTTAGAAACTCCAGGAACCACAAGTAAACCTGCAGTCTGAGAGCGAAGTGCTCTGTTAGGAAAGTATGGAACAATAAGATGTTTAATATATGATGGAGATAAAATAAAAAAAGATTGTGCTTGAGATGATAATTTTTCTTTCTTCCTTCCAAGCACCGCGCCACCTGGTGGGAAACCTGCCCCCGTACACGAACGTCAGCCTAAAGATGATCCTGACCAATCCAGAAGGACGGAAAGAAAGCGATGAAACCATTATTCAAACAGATGAAGATGGTGAGATAAATAAAAACACTCTACATTATTTACTTTATAAAACATGCTTGTTTACATTATTATTTTTTTCAATTCGAAATTCAATTCAATTCAAAAAATTTATTCATTGCATTAAAAAATAACTATACAATAAAAAAACAAAGAAATTACACAAATCAAAAATCAAAATAAAATGAAAGGTAGCAGGAGAAGAACAAATCTTATAATGTCTGCCCCTTTTATCCCCAGAATATATTAAAACAAAACATAATTTACAAAACAATACATATAAAAATAAAAACATCAACTCAAACAATTCATATAGCTTCACATTTTACTTTTCCATATACCTTCAGAAAACCAGCTTTTATCTGTCCCTTAAATTTATACATAGATCTGACATTTTTAAGATCACCCTCCAGACCATTCCACAGTCCTATACCCTGGATTAAAATATACCCTGGATTAAACTATACCCTGGATTAAGCTATACCCTGAATCCCCTTAAGATAAAAACAACCGTCTCTCTTAACAAAGTTTGCCTGAATGTTGGAAGGTAATACGTTTCTGTGAGCCTTGTACATAATTTAGTCTGCAATGGTTGTGGTTTAAAAAAATAAAAGCCTTGAATTGTTTTTGACCAGTAGCAGCTTTCTCATTTGCCGAACAGAATAGCGTTGCTTTCATTAGCATCGACTGATTTTGTGTGTCTGTCTGCGTTAACAGTTCCAGGTCCTGTTCCCAGTCAATCACTTAGAGCCACTCCATCTGAAGAGACAATAAGTCTACACTGGAAGGAACCAGCTGAGCCCAACGGAGTCATCACTCAGTACGAGGTATTGTCAGCTGCAGGCGGTGATTATAGGATCCAAACAAGCAGCGTGCTCCCTCGGATGAATATTAAAAACTGATTTTTGTTCCTCTCTACATCCCCTCAGCTCAGCTACTTTGGGCTGCGCTCGTTTGACCCTTCAGTGCCTCTGCAGCGGCCGGGACTCACCGTGTCGCTGCCTTCGAACACCACCCATTACACGTTTTCCCAGCTCCACCCGGGCGTGACCTATCAGCTGACCATACGAGCATCTACCTCGAAAGGATTCGGTCTGGCAGCCACACTTAATCTGACCACTAATATCTCAGGTAGAGGAGGATTTTCAGGGTTTCATACCAGCTCAAATAATGACAGCATATTTAAACAGCCGGTTGATCTTCATGCTCCGCTCTTCAGCCCCGACTATAGATGAGTACGACGTGTCTGAGGCGTTCCTGAACGAAACTGCAACAACCATTACTGTCCTACTCAAGCCTGCTCAGGCCAAAGGAGCTCCTATAAGGTAGACATCATCATAGATGCATGCCGCACACAGGGATTATTAGTTAAAATGTTAAAAATACCTGCTTTTTGTCTTTTTTTTTCTGTTAATAGTGCGTACCAGATTGTGGTGGAGGAAGTGAATCCTCAGAGGGCGCGTCGCCAGGCTTCTTCTGATTGTTTCCAGGTGATTATTTTTCACATTTAACAAACTAATTATATAGAAACATGTTTGCTAATGTATAATATATGCTTTGTTGATAACATAGATTTTTCTGTTATATGAACTTATTCTTGAGGGAAAAAAGGGGCAGATGTTGTAAGGTTTTTTTCTTCCCACTGCTGCCTTTCATTTTATTCTATTTGTGATTTTGATATACATACTGTAAATACATACATACATACATATGTATACGTACATATATATTATAATTTTTCTTTTTATATTTTTCTTTTTATTGTATATTGTATATAAAATTATTTTTGTTTTAATGAAACTAATAAAGAAATTGAATTTAATTAATATAAAAAGTGCAGATTCCCACTACTGAATATGACTCTATACGTTTTGGTTAAACGTGTAACAAACATATTTGAAACAGTTTTATTTGCAAACCATTTCAACTCTTTATACATTTACACTGTACTACAATAAATGCTCTTTATGTTTATAAACAGAACTGTCGTGCATTTTTTTTACCACCCAGATTAACAGACATATTGTCTTTAATGTCCCCAGGTTCCAGTTTCCTACCACAGTGCATCCAGTGGTGGTTCTCCATATTATTATGCTGCCCAGCTGTCCCCAAGCAATCTGCCTGACCCTCTGCCTTTTACTGTGGGAGACAACAAAACATATCAGGCAAGTCGTTTTATCTGCACTTCTGCCATGAAAATGTGGTAAAAGCAGAAAGTTGTTTTAGGCTGGATGATATGGCCATCAAGGACATACAATCTCAAAGCTATCTTGTAATAAATTGCTGTGGTTTAGAAATATTTCTACAGATAAAGTAAGTTCACAGCGATTAAAAAATACAGTTCTTTTGTTTCAGTGTTGCATTATATTCCAAAGACTCTGAGAGCTAGTGAACCTAAAGCAGACAGAAACAAGGGCAGGCCAGTTGATAAGTGAGGACGCAGGAATAAATTCACTCGGGTAGCTTGAGAACAGAAACTGAGGTTAAATGAGGAGCTGAGGTGAGTGAAGTTAGGTACCTAACAAGATGAAATGAGCCAAAGCAGAGTTCAAGATCTGTGTTTTAGAAACTTTACTGCAGGTTTTTGTTGGATTCCTGTGACAGAAGACAAAAAAATAATCCTGGAAGTGGTAAAAACAGGAGACTCTGGATCAGAGCTGGGGCATTAAAGGAGCAATCACTGGTTACAAACATGACCTTAAATGTAAGAAGTGAACTAAGCAGAGCAGCAATCTGTCTGAACGAATGTGTATCGATCTTTATTGTTCGACTGATTGCAATCGGTGGGGTTTTGCTCTAAAATGATGTTTCTGTCTTGTCTCTTGAACATAGAGAGAAATAGCATCACTACTCATCTGGATTGGGGTTAATTTGGTTTGTGTAAAATTATGCCAAAATTAAATTGGTCACAAATCTGTACATTTGGTATTTACCATAAACTTTTTATTTTTAGTGCAAAAATGTAGAGGACTAAAGATTAGTTATCAAGACTTCTGAGCCAAACTGGTTTAAAAACAAGTAATTTGGCTCATTAGGGGTATCAGAAAATGGTAGTAGGGGCAATACAGGAAACTGTATAAGACTAAATCCAAGTGTGGCATATGTTTCAGCATTTTAGATTCTTAATAAAGTCCTAAATGTACATGATCTGAAGTTTTTCTTGATGTAAAGCTAAACTGATGCGTCCTTTCCTCACTAGGGTTTCTGGAATCCTCCGTTGGCTCCAAGGAAGAACTACAACATTTATCTTCAAGCTGTTAGCAGCACCGAGAAGGTAAATAAGCATTTGTTTACCTAAAGGCACAGTGAGCACCTGCTCCTCATCTGTTAAAACTCTTTGAGTTAATTTACAGAGTTTCACGCAAAACTAAAAAAAGAAGCTCCAAATAACTTTAAATTAACTCATCTTTGTTCGAGCAAGGATTAGAAGTAGCATCTTTTTTATTCGACACACAACAAATGTCGTTTTTTTTCCTGCAACTCTTTGCTGTGAACTGCTGTGAGACCAAGACATTCTACATATATTTCATTTAATTTTTACAGGAAACCAAGACGCAGTGTCTGAGGCTGGCTGCTAAACGTAAGAACACTTTTAAACATTTTAATTACACCTGAAACAGTAAAACTATGGGAACAAGTTAAAATGTTACAAAATCACAACTTCCTTTAATTTTGAAACTTTGAACCTTAAATCTGACACTTCTGTTTAAGTGATTTGTGATTGTCTGCACCTTTTTGTGCACACACTCTAAATATCAGGTTTTTGCCCGTGGCCATATGTTGATAGATTATTAGGCAGGTTTTTATGATGTGGAGATAATCTGTTTACACGCACACACGCACACTGTTTTGTGAAGATATATATATATAAATATTTTAAATGAGGCCGATGGATTAGGGTTTAGCTGTGTGGAGTCAGAACAAGGATAAACAGAAAAACATTATCATATTTTCAATGAAATTGACAATCCTTCACTGTGCAGGGAGCAGGGCAGAACTTAGAAGTGCTGTGAGGGATTTTTGTTGTTTACTTTGAAAGCATAAAAAACTGTAGGCAAACAGTTCAAATTAAGACATGATTACATCATCTTGTTTTTGTAAAGAGTGAATATCTACATCCATTGAAAGTATTCAACAGTTTATTTTTTTTACTTTATCTAAATACATTAATGCAGGAAGTAAATACGTGAAAAATGATTCAAACCTGTGCAATGTAAAGAATTTATGCCATTTTTTTTACAAAGCGTCATTTGTGATATTGTGGAAAATCTACCAAAATTTGAGCGTTGTGTTTTTTAGCCATCTTTGTTCCATATCTAAATGTTCCAAAACAAATGCATTAAAGCCCCATTATGAGCACCGTATTTAACTTGATCAGAAATAATCGTTGCATAATGCAGACAAACACAAAACTAATGCTGATTATTTGGTTTTGGTGAAACCCGTCCTCCTTTGGAGCTCTCAGTTTATGAGCATAACTACCATTTATGAGTCTTATTTTTCAAAATAAGCTCTTCAGAACTGGAAGTGAAGAGTTAACTAGTCATATACTTTACATAAAACTCTAAATATGTGACCCATCACATCGAAACGAGGATTAAGTCCAAAAGTTGTACATGGAGAAACTGGCAAATATAGTGTTTTGACTAAAATGTTAACAAAAATTGCATTTTGTCAAAATATAATGAATAAATGCCTTATTAATGTATCATTTGGATGAACTGTCTGAAATTTAATCATAAAACAAAATTTTGAAGCATTTTTTGAGCAGTAGCAACAAAAAAACTGATTTTGAGGAAAAACGCCTTAAAGTTTTGAGATTTTCCCTGTGAGTTAGCAAAGTTTTGTTTCGTTTTAGCTGGAAAATCTCAATATTCAAATATAATTTGAGTTTCCTCTTTATAAGGACATCAAAAATTCCTCATTAAAATGGCATAAAATTACGATTCAGACCAAATATTTATGTATTATTGTAACCAACAAGACAAATGAAGTCATATATATGGATTTAATTAAGATATCAGGATGATCCAGGTATCAAAATGTAGCTTTTAAAACCAAGAATCTGAAAATGTAATTAGGTAATTTTGCCCAAATTTGACTTAATCCTCATTTCGATATGATGGCTCACAGATATTAAAAATTGGATGTGGACTCGCAAAGTCTTTTTCCAGTTTCAAGAATCTTTAAGATTTGAGTTAAAGGTTTTCACACTGTAACTGTTTGAGGCTTACTTTGCAGTCTGTATTTCTGTCTGCCTCTCATTCACCAGCTAATCAGGGAGTGACAGACACAGGTGTGTGGCTGCCATGGTTTCTGCACTCTGGTACTTTCACCCTGTTTTGGGTGCAACCGGACGCCATTTTAAAACGATTACTGCTACGTCTGATTATTTTAAGCTCTTTTTAAGAACTAAAGCGATAAGTTATGTGCTGCTGCTGCTGCTGCAAGGGGTCAGTTAAGAAACGTCGTTAAAGTTGTTATAACTAAATAGTTCAGTCATGAGGAAGCTGTGCCTCTTTAACAAAGCCCTCCAGTTGCTGTTGCAGGGAATTTGATCCATGGGGAGATGAAAGGTTTGGTTAAGTCCTGCTGGTTCCTGCGAGGTGTCACATGTTCCCAGTGAAATAAGAGGAAATGGGAACTTTCCAGGGTCATCATATTTCCTGATTTCCTATAGCTACCAGAACAGGTGGCCTGTTGGTGTGAAAGCTGCTCAGACCAGCTGAAACTTGGCCCCGAGGAGGTCTGAGCGACGCTGAAAGACTTTAGAGAGGATTAGACATTTTTTTCTTTAATAGGAGATAATAATAGAGAAGAAGCAGCTAAAGGACAGGGAGGTCAGGAGACCATTCCTTCCCTCTGCATGTGTGTGTGCACTGAACCGTGCATCCAGGGGGGGAGGATTAAGTGGAGGTGGTCCTTTTAGGTCATCTGGAGTATTGTGGATTGTCATTGTTGCCTCGGGGAGTTTTGTGCGTCTGTGTGTGTTTGTTAGGGGAAGTGTGAGTGTTTGTGTACTGACCTGGATAATTTCTGCAGATATTAGGAGCTGACATTATGAGGTCAGGTTGGGAAACTTTTAATAGATAATATATTTTTATCCCTTTAATAGTATGCTTGTACATCCTGCGATAACTTTCTGAGAGCGTCATTAAAATTTGCCTCTTGAGATATTTTACTAACAGAAAAACAGAGACAGTTGACTCTAAATGCAATGGTACGGACTAACAAGCACACAGAGATGTAACTGTAATTTTCTTATTTTGCTGTTCTTAAAAGGGCTTTAAATGGTACTGTAATTGTTGTTTTTCAGATTTTACAAAATGATCCTGTCCTAGTTAGTAAAACCTGTCAAGCACAAGCCATGTTTCGCTCATTTATTTTGGTTATCAAGCAAAAAAAATGCTTTAACGGCACAGAAGTGAACCATACTTCCTTATAATATTACTTATAATAGTGCTTAGAATTCACAAAAATCAATTCTTGCCACAAAACCAACGGAGCACTTGATAAAAGGACTGTAAAACAGGAACAAGTCACTTTTTAAATGAAATGAAAAGTGAAGTCTGTTCAGATGAGTTATTAGGAATCAGTTGGTTTTGAGCTGGGAGTCGTAAAAGAAACTGATGGGTGAACAAACAGACTCCTGTGTTCTGTTGTTGCATAACGACACATTTTAGTGGCAAACAACATTTATAGAAACACAACAAACACAAATATAAGCTCGATAGAGCAAGATTATTTTTGTCTTGTTGACGTTTAACATTTAAAGTGGATTATTGTTTGATGGATGTGTTGCATTATGTGGACTTATGCACATATGTTTCTGAGTTGGATTATTTGGATTATCATAATGCACCATAATGTTCTTACGTAGAAGTATAAAGTATTCTGGCTGAATGAAATGGAATCACTAAGCAGAGATGGAGAGCCGGTGAAATGTGATCTTTTCTTTCTGTAGACTTTCTGTCCCTGATGAAATTGAGGTTTAAACTCGTGAACGCCACGCACTCTGCTTGGAACATCATTGATGAATTATATTCCAAACAGTCAAAGTCGGGGAGTTCAGTCAATCCTCTGAAGTCATCAAGAGGAGAAATGAGTTTGACTACAAGTAATAAATGGTGACACTGGTGCAGAAACATTTGACAGCTGCTGTCAAATTGCATTTGAAAAGCGATGCCCAGTGAGAGCTCAGTGCTGTGAATGAGCCGTAATGCACAGGAAAAACAACAAAAACACACAAATTAAATTACTGCTTGGTTTGGGAAGTAAATGAATATTTTTGATGTGTTTCTGCCAACACACAAGGAAATTTATGAGTGTATTAATCATTGAATAATTATGAGGGGTTTTAGCTTTATTGATCAGTTTATAAAAGATGGTGCAGACCAGGGACAACTCTGTTGTTTTATTAGGCTTTATCTTTAGGCTGTCAAGAAATGCTCAGTTATAAGAACCATTTTTCTTTTGTTTCTCTGGTGTATAAAATGTCCAGTTAAAGAATGAATAAAACATGCTTTTAAAAGCAAATGACTTTTAATGAATTAAAACTAAATTTATATTGAAAGTATTGGAAAAACAAACAAATCTATTATTTAATTCACATTTTTAAACCAGGCAGGTCTCACTGAGCTTACAAATCTGGGCCTGAAAGCTTGAACATGTTTTTGCACTGTTGAAGGAAAAAAATAAAATAAAATTCTAATAAATAATAACTTGACACTTTTCTATGGGATACCAATTCTGAGTGTAAAATCCCAGTTACATTTTTCCACTAAAATGTTATTATTTGGCTCACTATTCTTACAATTTGCTCATTTTTACTGGTTGGCTTTAGCTAACCAGGATGATGTCATCATCCTGTGACAGACGTTAACGCTAACCGCTACTAAAGATGCTGGCTGTGTCCAAAACGGCAGGACGGGTCCTCCGGAGGACCCAGACTCCCCGGTCTCTGCAGGCCGGGTCCTTGGTAGACCGGGAAGACCGGAAAAAAGAGGCTGTGGATTTGGACGGTCTAGCCTCCCCTCCTTACCCCGGCGTACGTCTTGTCACCTAGCAACTGTGACGACGCTAAACAAGCAAACTTAAATCAAAACTAGAAAAATATCAATACATTAGCATTATTAATATCACAAAACTATAAAATTAACTTAAAAGTATCATTTGAAGAACTAATTGACCTGCTGTAGGTTCATGTTTATTTCGCGTTTTTTATGACGAAAAAATAATATTTAAAAACATGTCTATACAAATGATAAAAGTATTAGAATTACAACCGCTAATTTTTTTTAATTTTTAAATCACCATATTTTTATTTAAAATGTATTCTTTTCTCTCGCTTCGTCCGCCATTACTAGCTTAAAAAAATCTCCGGTCGGGCCGCAATGCATTATGGGATATGCTGGGCCGGGAAGGATCCATCGGACCTGTCCTTCGATTCGGGGAAAAAGAAGGACGTATTTGTCGGACGCATCGGAGGAGTCTTCCGTTTTGGACGTCCTTCGTCGCGGCGCTGTGACGTATGCGGCCGACAAATTCGACCTTCGGAGGACCCGTCCTGCCGTTTTGGACACAGCCGCTATTTAAAATCTAAATTCAAAATGTGATCAGTGAAAACAATATGGATGGTGCCTGAAGTGCAGCTCAGACACCGGCTGTAACTGCATGTTTGTCTTTTAAGGCACATTAGCATCGTTAGCAGCGTTAGCATCATTAGCAGTGTTAGCGGTTGCTATGTTCTCAGGATGATGATGTCCTAACAAGAGCTGAGCACCAACAGCAAAGGCTGCGTTCAGTTCCAAAATACTTCAACATTTAAACACAATATTTAAGATTTAACATTTTCATTTTGAGTTAGGATTTATTTTTTAATGTTTAGTAAAAAAATAACAAAATATAAAGACAGTGAGCTAAATAATTAAATGTTAGTGGAAAAATTTTATCTAGGGTTTTACATTTGGAACATAAGCTAAATAATGAAAATGTGTTGACATTTTTTAATATTTTATTTTACACTTGGCACCCCATACTTTCCTGAGCCCAAACTTTTTTTAAATTTATTTTTATTATTTACTCAGTCACAATTAATCTCAGACTAGGTTTATTTTCATTAAAACACAGAACTCTGTGAGCAGTATGACAAAGCATAAAAAAATTCTTCTATGATGGCAGTGTGCAACTTTAACTTTAACTAATATTGTTGCGTTAATATTGTTGTTTTCTGGTTTCTGATAATTGCAGGTGCTACGGAGGAGCCAGAAGTCATTCCTGACCCCGCCAAACAGACGGATCGGGTTGTGAAAATCGCTGGAATCAGCGCCGGCGTTCTTGTTTTCATACTGCTGGTGCTAGTCGCCATCCTGTTGGTCAAGAAGAGGTGAGTGGCAACACCAAGCTGCACCTACTAAAGCAGGCCTGATGGAGACTTTTGGAGGAGACCTCAATCATTACTCAACACCAGCATTCAAACATTCACTGGAATTCATTCTCTTTTCGTGGGTTAATCCAACACACCTGTTACAGTCGCACCATCTTCCATCCATCTACCAGAAATATTGATCTCCCCTCAGAAACACTTTGCTTTCTATGGGTTTGACTTGCTAAGACTTGTAACTTGTTTTTCTCCTAAATAATGCAAAAGAAATATGCTGTTAAAACCATTTTTGGCTGAATGCAGAAGAAGCCTGAGATGCTTCATAGTTTATTGGAGCGGCTGGATAAAGCTACATGGATACTCACAGAGAGGGTATGAAAGATTCAAAAGCAAAAAATAAAAAATAAACAAACTCCATCTAAATAGTTAAAGGAACAAACTCTAACTTACTTTTCATTGCTTTCTTAATAAACCCAATGAAGGTTTGTGGAGGATGAAAGTGATGAATCCCTGGTCAGTTGTGTGCAGAAAATGATTTTAACCAAGACTGAAGCAAAAAAAAAAAAGGATCGATAAACAAAAAAAAAATGTTTTTGACTAAAAATAATGAAGTTGTTTTTAAAGAGGAAAAAAAACAAGAAACTTTAAGATTTTCCTCCTGTTTTTGTAAAGTTAGAATTATCTGAGCAGATCCTTGTGTTGGGATTGTGTTTTAATTTGGTTCAGAGCGCCACCATGTGGTGACTAAACACAACTGCAGTGTGTACTTGTGTTTGTTGCCTTTTCAGGACCATTGCTGGTACACACACCTACCTTGTCAAGACCAGTAGACTTTATGGGGACCTAAGACCAGTCCTAACAAGGTGGAACTCCATTCTTGGGTTGAAGGTTAGCTTTATGGTAAGGAGTCAGGTTTAGGCTATTGGAAATACGAAAATAATGAGTGGAAGTCAATGAACGGTCCTAATAAGGATATAAATACAAACTTGTGTGTGTGCTATTCTTACTTGGCTTCAAAGTCACAAAAATTGTTTTAGTTTAAAAAAGTAAAAAGACAGTGATTTGTTTCTTTGATAAACATAAATTTTGTTTGTTTATACAGAAAAATATTAAAATGAAACTTGTTTCTATTAAATTTTAAGTAGAACTACCAAGTGATCAGAATTAAATATATTGAGCTATTAATTATTAAAGTGTTGTCCATATCAAAATAATCTGGATGAGTTGTTAAAGCTGCTTTCTTAAATTTACAACTTACTCTAACTAAAGCTCCTACTGCTGTATTTAATTTAATTTAATTTAATTGTTATTTTTATTTTATTTTATTTTATTTTACGTACCATAAAGTGGAAGAAAAGTCATTCTGTACACTGAGCTGTCTGCATAATGTAAATGTATTCATTGGTGCAAGGTTGAAAATGTTGCCCTCACTCTTTAGTTCAAAGACTCCAGTTCTTGTGGAAATTTATAGGTTTTTCTACTTTTATTTAGAAATATTGACATATATTTCAGGTATGCTCAGAGTGGAGTATTCAGTAAGCTCTTTTTACATCATTATGTCTGAACACAGAATTGTTCTTCTTTTCAGAAAGTTTAAAGAGCAACCAGGATTAGATTTCCTCAATTATGTCCATTCACAGCGTCACTCAGCAAATTAAAATCAATTAGACATTAAAATACAGAATGTAATGACCTCTTGTCATTAGAGAGGGCTTCTTCCGTTCGTATTTTTATTCTAATTTGCTTAATGAATTTATGTGAGCCAGGCATCGCGCCGCAGAATCGGTGTAAAAATCTAATTACATCTGAAAAGCAGAGGTGGGCCTAAAGAGCGTTTCAGAAAATCTGTTTTGAATAACACATCTGCTGAAGCTGGAGTCCCATTTTTGTGCTAAAACGGAGAGTGCAGCTAAACAATAATCACTGTTTGTGTCAGATTGTAGCATGCAAACACAATATTCCAGTGGATTTATTCATTTTGCAGATGTGTTGCACTTATTGTAAATATATCAGATTATATTTTGGTTTGTTCTCATGTGTATAACAGTTTTCAGCTCTATAAGGTTTCTGTGGGAGATCAATCTTCATCACCATTAAAGCTTTTGACTTCACTGAACAATACTGCATCTTTAAAATAGTGGGACATGATGACATCGCAGTGACATCATGCTTGCTTTTCAGGAAACGAGCTGCCTGGTCGTATTGATTGGATGGCTTTAGCATCAGTTTTATAGGAGTGAGATTAGCTCAGGTCACCGGCTGATTAGGGCTAAATCTGAGATCAGTTGTAAAATACTGCATGTGTGTGAAGAGCAGAAAGGCTGCATGTGGATGACTTAGTTCTTTATTTAATGTAGCTGTTGCAATTCAAGTTTCAGATCTTGTTTTAGCATCAAAGTTTGGTCTTGAGCTTTTTTGTTTGTTGTTTTCCTGATAAATAAGATCTAAAGCTGTTACGGCACCTCCCCTTGCATGAATTTAGCAAAGGGTTTTTTTTTCTTCTGTTTCACTGGTTGAGACAGGACAGACTTGTCCTAATTTGCATATTCCCTTGTGTCTCATTCTTTGCTTTCTGATTGGCTCACAACCCCAGGAGGACCTACTATTCATACTCTTATTACCTGTAAGTAAACAACCAATCCAACAACCAGCTCACCCAGCTGCTCTTACCTTATTGGGGTGACTTGTTAGTGGCTAGCTGTTTATTTTTTAAAGATGCAGTATACTTTTTTCAAGATAAAACACATGACCAACCAGCCAAAGCCATCCTCATTGACGCCTTGCCAGGGTGGGGGTCAGTTCGCTTTCATGCCAGTCATTTCAGACTTTCAGTTGGTTTCAGTTTTTTTTTTTTTACATTTAAGAGAAAAAAAAGTTGCAGCTTTTGAAAATGGCTTCCAGTAAAAATGATTGTTGTGTTTAATAACTAGAAATCTGATGATTGTGAGTTGATGGTGAATTGACCCCGGCCCTGGTGTCTACATGCTCCAAAGTTGCTCTGAAGCAGGCTTTTAAAGGCCACAAACAGTGGGACAGCACTGGCCACAGCCAAGCGTGTTATTTGAAAAAAGAATGCTGCACTTGTGACTTGTAGCTCTTTGTGTGCATGTAGTCATGTAATCATCCATCTGCCCATCAAGTCACAGGTTTCACAGTAAAACTCTTCTCCACGTGGCTTCCTGTCAGGGAATCAGAGCCGGCTGGTTTCTGGGTTTTGTGGGGGGTTTTTAGGGGACCTTTGGAGTTTATGTTGGCAGCTCTTATGGCTTTTTATCTTTTACTGCGGGTTCTTCACTCTCTGCTTGTTTTATATAATGTAACAAAAATTAATCTGAAAATGTAATCTGCACAACGTTTTGAAAAAGAAAATTGTAACACAGACAAACCCAGATTAGATCTTTTTGACTTTATGCTCAAATATTGTGTCTCCAAACTTCACACAGAAAATTATGAAAGAGGATTACACTGGTTAAAAAAAGAAAAAAATGGATATTGGAATTCTGACTTTAATATTTCTGAGATTAAAGTCAGAATTATTTTTCCAGTGGCTCTAATCCTCTTTCATAGAAAAAACACATTTTTTAGTTTAGTTTAATTTTTTATTCATTTAATTTAAAACCAAAAATTGTATACACATTAAAAAC